TAAATTTTTGTTTTGAAAAACTTAATGTCTACACATTTGGAGTTAATATTTACAACATAATAAATATAGGCATTGAATTATTGTGTTAATGCATGGAATTGAGTATCTGGAAAGGGACAAAGATTACAAATAAGGAATCAATTGCTTTTATTGTCAGAATATAAATTTAAAATTATTTTAGTTGTCTTTCTTCCTATCTGATGGCTTCTTCCCTCTTTTCAGATTTCTTCTTTTTCTCATCTGACTGCTTTTAATCTTTCCTCCCTTCTCACGTTTTCCATTTTCCACCTCGTCCATGTTTTAGATAGCGTTAGAGCTTCAAAGCTTGATAATTATCATTTTCTGTTCCCATTTATCTGAGAAGCAGAGCTGCAATGGGCATATTTAAATGGAAGATTTGAAAAAGATTTGAAAAAGTCCTGCACTATGTCAGTATTAGTTTACCCAACTCACAAGGGCAAAAATAAGCTAGCTCTGTCCATTTGTCAAAGGGCTTTGCCAGTGTCTGTGGTACTCCCCATGGCCAAGTCTCTTGTGTGGTCTCTTGTCATTTGTGACCCTTGGGGTATGGATGTCACATGACCGCAGCCCTTTTTCCTGCCACTGGCAGGGGGTTGGATTCGATGATCCTTTGAGGTCCCTTCTGACCCTAGCATCTATGAATCTGTAACACTTAAACCATTTTAAATGGTATTTAAACTGCAAGTGTCGGGAGATGCATGTTGGTTTAGAATGATTTAAACATCCTGGAACATTACAAAAGTATACTTGGATAATTGGGTGGTACTTGGAAACAGTCCTCAGTGACCCGGTTCAATGTTATATGCAGACAGCAAATTTTTCACGACTAGTGTCTGGTCAGTCCATCAGGCATCCCACACTGCATTACTCGTCACCCCCATCCCTCAACCCTTGCACAGCAGCTAGCTACTTTAGTACGCAACTTGAACTCTTCTTTCCCAACCTATATGTGTCCATACTTGCCCAATTCTGTGCTGTCCCAGGCTGACTTGGGTTGGGGGAGGGTGGTTAGGTGTGTAGAAGGGTAATCCTTTTTAGGTTCTCAGGCTGCTGAGTGCTCTAGAAGGCTTTCCAGTGTCTCTATAGCTTTTAAAAAGAATTTTATCCCAAGTCACGTGCCAGTTTTATTCCATTGTTGGCAGTTGATCAGGCTTCAGGGCCTTCTAAATTGATTTGGGCTGAGGGGTGGGTAGAGGGGGCACCCCTGGTTCTGCGTTCCTGGGGGCTGTCCAAGGTCTCTGCAGCTTTTAAACAGCATATTTCCTCAAGTCACTAGTTGATTTCATTCCATTCCTGGCAGTTGATGTGGAGACCTTGGGCAGCCCCCCAGAGCATGCAGCACCCCAGAAACCCAGAAGCAGGGTTCCCCCTCCACCCCTGGAATGCTTCAAAGCCAGATCAGTTGCTACAAATAGAATGGAATTGATGGCTTTGGGGGGAAATGCTGTTTTAAGTGATGGAGACTTTGTATAGCTCCCAGAATATCCTGATACCTGGGAACCCAGAAACAGGGTCTAGGGTCCTCTCCCACCTTGCCACCCCTAGAGAAAGTCTTCTTAAGGCAGTAGTTTGAGCCAGAGACCTTGAGCAGCCCCCTGGGAAGTGAAAAAGCAAAGGTCCGGGTGCCCCACCCCCGCCCCTCCCTAACTAACTGTCTATCATTTCACCCCCAATCAGCCTGGTATACTGCCAGGAATTGAAGTAAATTGAGTGGCTTGGGAGGAAGTCATCTTAGAAAAGCCACAAAAACTCTGACAGCCCCAGAGAACCCAGCTCCTAGGAACCCAGAAGCAGTGGTTTAGGCAGCACCCCCAACAGACACCTGGGCACCTCGAGTCAGGGTACCACCATACAAGTTGCTGACACTGCAGTGCCTAAAAGGAACGGATCCAGCATTATGTATGTCTGTAGCTTTAGGAATTAATTCTTCCTCTTTCCCCTGACCCTAGAAGAGGGTTATATATCCAGCATTGGGCTTCTCATGAACTTGGGACTTACTAGTCCTGTATTTCCAGGAGCATCACTTTCCCTTTCTGAAAGGGAGCACTCCTGTTAATAAAGTCTTTCACTTTTCTTTCTTCTGTACTTGTAAGCGGAGATGCACTTAGATTCTCAAAAACAGTTGATTTTATTTGGGCCATTTGGTAAGGAATGTCTGACAAAACTGCACTGTCTGATTCAGATGCAGTGATGCCTGTTCTCACCTGTTTCAATGCTTCTGTAAAAAAACAAAAAAACTGGTTGGAGCGTCGTTATCCCAAAGTTTATGATTCCTTCTCCCCGCTCATTTTGTCCATCCATCTGTAAGTACTGCAAGACGCAGTGCTTCGTTGATTTTTTTTTTTTTTTTTTTCCTTGCACAGATTGCATTACACTTTCATATTCTGACTCTAAAAGAGGCTTGGTCAAAGAATGTGTGCTGGGGAAATGGTATGATGGTCATAAAAGCTTCTTGCCAGTATGCATTTTCAGTTTTTGACAATGGCGTCCCAGAAGAACATATTGCTCTTGCAAGAGCTTGGTCAATGTTTTCTTGAACTTCAGGTGTCATCTTGTCTACAAATGAATCTATTGAGAGTCTTTTGTATATAGCTGATTGCATATTTGGTTACTTGAGGATGTTGATTGGGCAACCCCTTGTGATGCTGATGTTATAGAAGAAGAACCAGCAGCAGTCAGAGGACTTGTGGATCGAGAATGTTGGAAAGAGCTACTTGCACTTTCAACATCATTTTCTGTCTCCTCCTCACTTACACCCATGAAGGGTTTTTTAATGTCTGCAGGACACTTCTTGCATACAAAAATGTGGTCATCCTGGTAGCATTTGGAAATACATATTTCATTTGACAGTATTTGCAAATCACATTTTTTCCCTCAGAATAACGTGCAGCGTAGAAATGCTTCCATAGGCTAGAAGTTGATGGCACCATTTTGCTGAGGGATAAAAAAGAAAAATGTAACTTTGTGGCTAGCTTGCATATATAAACAGTAAGCTACAGCATGTACAAATTTAGTAATGGATGGAGGAGAGGCCTCCTCAGAGTTAACTGTAAACAACTTCCCTGCCCTTCAGGCCTCACCTCACTGCTAAGGTTGGATGATTTGTCACAAAACATCAGGTTAGTAGGAATTCAATTCTGAATTACATAGGTTATGAAAATACACGAATGCAGCTAAGATATAGTTTAATATACTGAATTCAGAGAAATTTAAACTCTTACCTTTCAGTAAAGAAGTACCTTTCAGCCCCTTTTTGCTGCTTCTGTACTTCTTCCTCCTGGTCCTGTGACCTTGAGATCCACAGAAGGCAGGTTCCTTCTAACTCCAAAACCTTTAGACTTGCTCTGTCTCCTCTCCTGGGGATTTTGAGCAAGCAGGGCAATACATTCTTTGTTTCTAATCTCTACAGGAAGGAATAGATGCTGCTGCCAGTGTCAACTCCCAGTCCTTTGAGGCCTAGTCAGGAGGACAGGAGCAGATCCTCCAACCTCTAGATTAAAAGTCAACAATAGAGGAAGTCCACAAGCAAAGAAGGCACTGAATCCTTCTTCCTTCTCTTGTGAAAAGGGCAGTGCCCTCTGGGGGGCAGAAATGCATCTTGCTCTTGTATTTGAGAGTTGTACTGTACTGTTTGTCCTCTGTGTACAGGAATTGTAATGATCTGATACTGTAGATAGTCTTACGTAAAAGTCTTTCTTTTACATAGTTATTAGAAAACATTTTTGGGGAGTAAAGGGTAACAATATATGAACACCTTGTCTTAAATATCTTATTCATTGTTCTAAAATAATTTTTTTTCCTGAAAAATTGGAAAAATTGAAAGTTTTTGGAAAAAAAATCAAAAAACCCTATGAAATAAAGTCCTTGGGGAAAAAAATGGAAGAAAACTTTTCTTCACGAATTTTTCTGGTTCTTCCCCCCCCCCCCCCCCCC